CTTGTTTTTCCTGTTTAAGTTTAATTTTCTTAGCCCACTGAAAAAAAAAAGTTGTTTATTGTGTCTTGTTTGAAGCATGAACTCACTTAATTTTAATACATTTTGGCCTGGTTTCACAGACAGGGCTTAGATTAAGCCAGGATTAGGCTATAGTTCAATTAGGGCATTTAAGTAGTTTTTATAAACATACCTTAGAAAAAAAAAAACATTACTGGTGTGCATCTTGAGACAAAACAATAGAACTGACATATTTTAAGATATGTCAGTGCAAGTTTTTTTTTTTTTCAGTTGAAACAGCTCAGACATGCATTTTAGTCTAGGACTACGCTTAAGCCTTGTCTGTGAAACCGGGGGTTAAAGTTTTAAACACGACATAATATCCTAAGTAATTTTGTTTGTCAAGCAAATGTATCTTGATTTAAGAATGTTTTGACAGTTGTACTGGAAAACAAGACAAAAATACTCAATAATAATTAATGAGTAAATGCTTTTTTTTTGTATTTGATCCTTTAATCTACAGCAGGTCTAGTCAACTCGGGTCCTAGAGGGCCAGTGATCTGCATAGTTTACTTCCAACCCTTATCCAACACACCTGTTCATCATTTTTAAATAGTCCTGAATACTTTGATTAGCTTGTCAGGTGTGTTTTATTAGGGTTGGAAATAAACTCTACAGGACACCGGCCCTCCAGGAGCCGAGTTGAAGAGCCCTGATCTACAGTGTTAGAACAAAGCATGCACCTTTCAAAAAAGTTCTTCTACCCGATGATTGAAATTTTTTGATCCAAGTAAAAACAATAAAACACGTCAAATAAACATCTGTCAGAAGTGTACAGCTACAGCGTCATTGTATTTGTTCGTATTATGTACCATTGGTCTTTTAGACCACGAGAATTAAAATTACATTTTTTTTACAAGGTTCTCAGACCCCAAACAGAATGTAAGATGAGTTATGAGCTCTTGAAGAAGTCAAGAATCAATGCGAATCAGCCTCCTTTCTTAATATCAGAGTTGTAATTGTATAATCACAGGAAAAAAAACAGGTCAATAAAGGCAACACATACAGCTGTACTGATATTACCACTAGAACTGTCTAATAATTCAGGTCCAATTATTTGATTATGTTTTGATAAGTACTGTGCCATTGATCTGTTTTTGTTTCAGTGTTTTATTCTCTGATTTCAGTCAGTATTTATTACAGCAGGTACTGTTTAGAGTTTACCACAGTGAGAATGGACAGATTAAGCCACACTGTCATTAAATTCAAAATATTGCATTCAGTGACTTAAATGGCTCTGTGTTTGGTTCTGCTGTTCTCTTTCTAGATATTAGTTGTTCGGCAGTTGTTTTCTTTCTATCAATTAGTGCATATTTCTTAAACAAAAACTTACTCACCCTCAGGCAATCCAAGATGTAGATGAGTTTGTTTCTTCATCAGATTTGGAGAAATGCAGCATTGCATCACTTGATCAGTAATGGAAGCTCTGCAGTGAATGGGTGCCGTCAGAATGAGAGTCCAAACAGCTGATAAAAACATCACAATAATCCACAAGTAATCCACAGCACTCCAGTCCATCAATTAACATCTTGTGAAATGAAAAGCTGTGTGTTTGAGAGAAACAAATCCATTGAGACATTTTTAACTTCAAACCTTTGCATCCAACTGAAATACAAGTCTGTGATCCATAATAACGCTTCCTCCAGTGAAAAGTCGTCTGAATCAGGAGAGAAATAAGCACAGATCAAGCACTATTTATGCAACACAAGCCAAAACAGTCCAAAACAGATCTGAACAAATATGTGTGTGGATTTTGATGTGAAATGATAACAGGGGATGGACTTTTTCACTGGAAGAAGTGTTATTATGGATTATGGAAATGTGCCTGTGTTCTTCACAAGATGTTAATTGATGGACTGGAGTGATGTGGATTACTTGTGGATTATTGTGCTGTTTTAGCAGCTGCTTGAGTTTTTTTTTATTTTTATAAAGAAACAAACTCATCTACATATTCGATGGTCAGAGGGTGAGTACATTTTCAGCAATATATATATATATTTTTTTATTTGGGGTGAAATATTATTTTAAAAGAGATTTCATACACTCTAAAAAATGCTGGGTTGTTTCAACCCAACTTTGGGTCAAATATGGACTAACCCAACTTTTGGGTTAAAAATGTATTGAAGGTGGAAGAGAGCGCTGTACATTCACTCCCCCCACCTACAATCCCTGCCGGTACGAGACTCGAACCCGCAACCTTTTGGGTTATGAGTCCGACTCTCTGACCATACGACTTCCCCCAGTCGTATATATATACACTGAAAAACAGATCTGAATGTATAGTCTGGAAAACAAGGTTTATATATAACATAAACCTTGTTAAATGTTGTTTTGCTTTAAACAAAGGAAAATAATTAACCCTAATGACAGATGTAATATCTGAAAATAAGTCTTAATATGCAAATGTGCTGAATATAATATTTTAGGCATGTTTAGCCAGCACAATACAATTAGGAAGTATACAACAATTATGAAGTATTAACCAAGATTGTATTACATGTACTCTGTGTCATGGAATTTAGTGTAACTGAAGGTTTCCTCTAAGGATCATTCGGCTGACCTGACCGCTGTGACCCGTGTCATTCTTCTGCTCTGTCTGGACAAAGGAAAAAAAATGTGGTCTCACCACTGCAATGTGACAAAACGGAGACAAATATTTAACATTGGTTTGGCCCCGTTTAATGGTAGGTAGCAATTTTCTGCTGTCTGCGTGTTCGTTTACACCAAACAAACAGAGAACAAAAGCTCGTGTGGCATTCCACACCAGCTCTGTCTCCACACTTCACACAGATGGTCTGCCATACAAAGGTGGACCACCTCAAAGAACTGACGAAATAAACTCTCCAACGTTTTCTTGCAGAATAGCACAAATTCCTGGTCTTTGTGCTTCTCCATCCCGTTCTCGTCGTCATATTTTTTTTTCTCTCTTTTAGAGGGGTGCGTGCAAACTGTACAGTGATAAAGCCACACTTTACAGTGTGTTTTACATGATAAAGTACTGCTAAGATATTCCAATGAAGCACATGTGCATAAGGGGTTAAGCTTGTGATTGATTTATTGTAATTATTAATATTAACATAAACTGAAAAAATCTGTTATAGAATGTATGGTTTTCACCCAGAAATGTATAGTAAATGTCACATTTAATTTCAAAGCAACGGCAAGTAGCACATTGAATTAAACGTGAAGTTTCAAAGATGTGTCCACAGCTGTCTGAAACCTGGGTTTACAGAACAAATTTGCATTAATCCAGTTTTGTGGGAACTTTTTTTTTTTTTTTTTTTTTTTAGATTAAAACTAGCTAACTAACTAACTAACTAACTAATAAATAAATTTTCATAGCTGCAGTGTAAAATACGGAATAAGTTAACCAACCACAAAGAAAACACAAATATTACAACAGCAGGAACAAGTGAATCAGTCTGAATTTGGGCACTTCTCTTGTGCAGTGAAAACATTCAAATGAATGAAATGGTTTGAATTGTAGCCACTAGAGGGATTCACACACACACACACACACACGCACACACACACACACACACAGACACACACACCCCTTCTCAACTCTGGAAACACTATCCAACACTTGGAGGAGCATGTGTGGAAAATGCTCCTGCCGCCAGTGCTTTACCTGTGACTTCAGCACAACACGAGAGGAGGATCGGAATGAGAAAAACTCATGTAGGACTGAAACATGGGCTGGTCTGCTTCCATCACATTCACACTCTTAAAAGACTGAAGGATCTCCAGCGGAGCTCACAGCATACATGAGGATCCGCGATGCTCTGGACACCTCCGAACCTCCTGCAGACCATCTCAATCACTTCAACTTCTAACGCCGAGACAACTTCAGCACAAACAGCATCTGAATGTGCTCCATCCTCAGATATGACAGCCCTTCATGTTTGGACGTGTTCTGTATTCATGAATTGTTCTTAAACATTGTTTTGCGAGTAGAGAAAGACAGAAGTACAGTGAGTGTGAATGAAGCTCTTCATTCATTGATTACTGATCGGATCAATGAATTAAGCCGCGATCTCGTCAGAAGACTCACTTTTTGCCTCTAGAAGGAGTAAAAAGAAAGAAAGAAAAAACTTCAGCAAACAGAACGGCTCGTATAGTGAAATAAAGAGCTTCATGGATTTGCATATCTGGAACAATATTCGTCTTTGACAAACGATTGTGAAAGACGAGGAAAACAAAAGAAAACAACAATAACAAGTGGAAGGACTTTGGAGAGGAAGAGCGCGTCCGTGCGCATTTCTCTGGGACATTATCATACCCATCCGCATCCTCATCCTCATCATCATCTCTCTTGTGTTGAATAAAATGAAAGTTTGGAGTTTTCTCCAATGTCTCGCCATCCTGCTCGTCCTGTGTGTAGGATCAGACTGCGGGACGGTCCTGAGAAAGACCCGATCCAAACGCGAGCTTGTGAAGATCAGAGAAGCCAAAGCGGTCTTCCCGGGGGCTTGTGCCACCCGGCTGCCCCGGGGCAAGCGCTCCCTGCCGGCGCTGGACCGCCGGCTTCCCCGCCAGCGCCGCCGCTCCTCTCCGGTGGAGGATGCGAGCTCTTCTCTGGGAAAAGCCGTTTATTTTACGGGCAGAGGGGACCAGCTGAGACTCAAGCCCGGTGTGGAGATACCAAAGGGCAATTTCACCCTCCAGATGTGGGTCAAAGCGGAGGGTGGGCAGCATTCCCCTACCATTATAGCTGGTAGGAACATATTTATGCATTTTACGTGAGTTTGTGTGAGATGAATTTTGGTGAGAGAGTAATGCATGTGAATTGTGAAGCTTGACCAGGTGGCTTTAGCGGTGCTAGGTTACAACATCCATATCCTTCAATCAGTTACAGTGTCGAATGATTAAGTAATCGCGTGTGTCAACGCGGAGACTCCACACACTTTAATTCATTTCTGATATTAGCTTTTGGGCTTAAGTGACAGGAAAACGATGACTTCATTGGTCTAAATGTAGTCTATCCACAAGCTCAGGTTTGCCGTTTCAGCTCTGATCTCAAGAGAGCGAGCGGGACAGGACTTTCCTCTCCCCAAGTCTTTGCGCGTTTGGAGAGGCACGCGGTTTACACGTACGACCCTCGAATCCCCGAAAGACCCCAAATCCCCCACTTCCATTCAACTCGGAGGAAAACACAGGATAAAAGTGAAGCTGTTCTGAACTTTGCAGATGTCTGAACTGCGGCACGTTACCAAATCGCATCACTTTGAAATTACGTTCTCCTCCGGTACCTGCAGACACCAGACAGCACCAGACAGCACAAATCTGAGTTTGCAAACGCCACCACAGATCTGTAGAGGTCTTTTTTCTTTTTCTTTTCTTTCAATGAGTAAGCATTACAACATCGCTTTCGATTCCGGTTTCTGCCGACAGAGAGCGTAAAAGACACGACACGTCGGTCTTTTTTGAAAGTCATGATCAGGAAAAAATTAAAAAATAAATAAAATGCTGGCTGCGAGAAGTGTGTTCTTCTACGCAGTCACGCACGACTAGACAGACCGGAGTGAGAATCCACTACTGATGCGGCAGTGGGCATCACTGATTTACTGATTTACGCGTGGTATCTGATGTGAGTGCGACCCTCAAACCCTCACCCTCCAGTAATTGAGATGACATCATCTGTTTCAGGCTTGCAGTGGGTTTGCACTGGACCAAATGCCTGACCAGCATTACGGAGATGAACAGTATAAAATCTCCCACACACACAACCAATGGATCCATTTAATGCATGCATGATTATGCTGTATATGATCAATATTTTATATAGTGGGGCCCAGAAATCTGATATCACATTCAATAATACTTTTATGTAAATGAGGAATTAAAGTTAGGGAAAAAAGTTATGATATTATTGCTGTAAGAAAACAAATCTGTAGAAAGACTGATAATGTCCTTGCAGAAAATTAACTACACAATGCAATGCATAATCCAGGTAAAACTCATGTACAAGTCAATATGGAGAATTCCTTCATATTGACATAGTACAGTGTGCAGTGTCCTTTTTTACAGACTTTTCTGAGAGTGCAGATTGAGATTCTGCACTAATGTCACTATTTTCATTAATCACTTATAAAATAAGCAAATTTATGCCATTAACCATGTGAGATTCTGCATACAGAAAGTCAGATTTCCTTGCTTCTGCAAAACTTGTGTTGAGCAAAATCAACGCATTAAAGGGATATTTCAATCAAAAATTGTCATGATTTACCCTAAAAGTTTTTTTTCCTCCATACAACTCAATTCAATGGGCACCAATACCATAAAAATTCCTTTAAAATAGTGTTATGTTTCAAGGTATTTGAAGGACTTCTGTCAGTGAATATCTGTTGAGTTAAATAGTATAAGAAGAAGAAGAAGAAGTAGAAAACTACAAAACAAGAAAAAGTGATTGAAGTGGAATCTGGCTTATGTAGTCATGCTTAATCTTTTATGTCTAATTCATGCCTCTAAGAATGAAGACAGAAGGCAGTTGTTTTGAGAGAAGCAACTGTTTATTTTCACCAGTCGTTGTTCTTGTTGTTGTTTTTGCACCGTGTTAGCCTTAATGTAGAGACTTAATACTGTTTTTTTTTTTGAGCTATGTCATGTTTTCATTCCATAATGGAGAAGATTGAAGAGTGAGGAATGAGGAGTATTTGACAACATTTGACAGAGAAAAAAACAAAAAGCTTATCGATGTCCTAAAGTCAGTAAATTCAGCACCCTGAACAGCGCTGAGATTGTGACTGCAGTATGTAAGATAGATTTGGATGAGTGCTCTATAAACCATCAACATTATTTATGGTCTTGATTTGGCAGTTGAAGAAGAACCTGAGACAGACATCATCAGACAGCAGATTAGACATCTTGTTTAGATAGTTGATTTAGCTTTGGAAACAGTACAGGAAAAAAAAACACACTGTCTTGATTTCAACAAAACCTTATGTTGACTTTGATCTCATGATTAACACTGTCCATCTGGTTCAAGAGTGCGTTCAACACGTTAGACTGACGTGAGAGCATGAAAAAGTGCTTATTGGACACTGATCTTCCATTATGATGAGATATAAATTGACATACACAGCAGATCTGATCTGAGATACAGAATGCAAGCTTAGGTGACAATGAGGGAAGGACATTTAGGTTTCATGATGCTTAAAACATGGCTTGACCAAGACAGCATACTTTACTGTGTTATTGTGTAAACTTGAGTAAAGTATTTTTTTTCCTCCAAATTCCCCATCCTGAGATAATATGTAAGTGTGCAATTTCCTCTATAGATTTAAAGCTGCACCTACCAAACAGTCGTTCAGCCTTTTCTGACTTGGTGTTCTAGTGATATTTTTGTCACTGATTGTACTGGCCCAAGTATTACATAGAATTTAATTTTACTTGGAAATAAGGAGGGTCTTTTTAAATTTCACTGCCTCCTCCTACCTCTCCCCTCCTAATATTCATATTAATTAATTAATTAATTAATTGATTAATTAATTAATGCTTAAGTACAGCTATGCCTATGAAGCAGTATAATTTCACTGATATTGCCAACATTTTAATTACTGCCTTTTTTAACAAAAGCAGTATACCGTTTTATGTAAAATACCAGGTGTGTGTCACGCTCTTGGACTGCCGTGACCCAGTTTCTCCCATGTTGATTGTGTTTATTGATTTCAGGTGTTTCTCATTTAGTCCCTCGTTAGTCACGTATTTAAAGAATGTTCTGTTCCTTGGTTCCTTTGTCCGGTGTCTAACATCAAACCCCTGTGCTACGTGTGTGTTCCTGCTATTGAGTTTTTATTTGGATGAATCAAGATTGTTCCTTGTGTTATTCTCCGTCGTCTCCGCGCTCCTTGTTCCTACACAGTAGGCACATTGTGACAGAACACCAGACCTGCAAACAGTAAGCGGTGCCCCTTCTCCCCGTTTTTGTTTCTGTTTTTGAAAGTTTTGTTTTCCGTTCCTTGCGGTTATGGAAACTGCTGCGAAACCGCTGCCCTAGCCTGTAAGGACCTTCCTTTTGTGTAGTATGCCAGGGATTTCTATGGGCTCGCCATCTTAATGCCATTAGACGATGCCACACTAAATTCTTTGTTCTGGATCGGGGCCAATTACCATCACCCCATTGACCTCCCAAACACCACTGGACTAGGGATCCTCCGGTGTCTGGAGAGCATCCGGCCCTGATCCAGAACCGCTCCGCAGTCAAGTCCGCCGACTGCTCCATTGTCAAGTCAGCCGGCCGCTCTGTTGTCAAGCCCGCCGGCCACTGTACTCTCACGCCCGCCGGCTGCTGCACTCACAGCTCCAGCCCCTGAGCCCGCTCCAGTGTCGGCTCCAGCCCCTGAGCACGCTCCAGTGTCGGCTCCAGCCCCGGAGTCAAACCCAGAGAGGGCAGCCCAGAAAGAGACTCTGTTCCCCAGTCCAGCCCAGAGAGGGCTCCTGTTCCCAAGTTAAGCCCAGAGAAGGCTCATGCTCCTACGCCCAACCCAGAAAGTGCTCCTGTTCCACAGTCCAGTCCAGAGAGAGCTCCTGTTTCCATGTCCCCATGGCTCCCTAGTCTGCCTGCTCCGCCATGGCTCCCTAGTCTGCCTGCTCCGCCATGGCCCCTTGAACTGCCTGATCCGCCATGGGTCCCGGAATGGGTACCACCTGGAGGCCATCCGTCCCATGTAAGCCTGTCCCTAGAAGCCTCCAGGGCGGCCATCCCCCCCTCCCTGTTGGAAGTTGTGAGGCACGTGGACGCGCCTTCCAGGAGGGGGAGGTAATGTCACGCCCTTGGACTGCCCCTGTGTTCCTGTGTTCTTGTGATGTGCTCCGTGACCCATTTTCTCCCATTTTGATTGTGTTTATTGATTTCAGGTGTTTCTCGTTTAGTCCCTCGTTAGTCATGTATTTAAAGAATGTTCTGTTCCTTGGTTCCTTTGTCTAACGTCAAACCCCTGTGCTACATGTGTGTTCCTGCTATTGAGTCTTTATTTGGATGAATAAAGATTGTTCCTTGTGTTATTCTCCGTCGTCTTCGCGCTCCTCATTCCTACACAATAGGCACATCGTGACAGTGTGTGGATGGTGGAATACCCCTAAGCCCTTGTGCTTGTTTAATTTGATATGTGTGGTGAGCTGAATATTATTTTTTGAGAATTTAGGAATGGCTAACTAAAAAAGAAATCACTATATAAAACCAAAGAACTGTGACAATGAACAAACACTTTTAGATAAAAAGTGAAGTCTGGACATTACAAAAATAGAAACAAAACAAAACTAAACATAAAATAAAAAATTGTAAAGGAATGCAAGTGAACTAGCATACTGCTCCTATTATTTGGCATTAAAAAAAATTATTAAAATAAAAAAAAATACATAATAATAAAGACTTATTGTTGGGTGCATGCTTGTAGGCTATCTAGTGTGAATTGTTCAGTGGTGCCTATATGAAGGCTCATGTCGTTTCCAGATTCTATCCCTTCCCCTTATAGTTTGTTGTTTACTTTCCAAAGCAAATTTTAGAGTATTGTTTCTTGACTTGTTGTTCATTATACATTTGGATTTCTCTCCTGACTCATTTGTTCTCGTTTTCAACCACAGGTCTCTTCGACAAATGCTTCTACGCCTCCAGTGATCGTGGATGGCTGTTGGGAATTAAAGCTGTGAGTGAACAGGGAAACCGTGACCCGCGTTTCTTCTTCTCCCTTAAAACGGACCGAGCACACAAAGTTACATTCATTCACTCGAATGCCCGCTACTTGCCCAACCACTGGGCCCATGTAGCTGTGACTTACAATGGCTTCTATATGAAGTTATATGTAAATGGTGCTCAGACAGCTGTTAGCAGGGAACAGTCAGGTGATGTCTTCAGCCCACTTACTAAAAAGTGTAAGGTAAGTTTAATTCTTTTAGCTTTAACTTTTTACACAATATTCTGGAGAATCACACACAATAAGTTTTTTTTTTAAATTATATATATTTTCTATTATTAGTTAAAGGTGAAGCGTGTAATTTCTGTGCCTCTAGGTGAACAAAACAGACAAACTCTTGCATGTTTTTTTGACACTTTCAAAGTGAAATGTCAAGTGAGGAGCACTAAAAGCGTGTTCAGCTTTACCTGAAACAAATTAATGTGCAATTGACAACATTTTATTACATGGGTTGTTGTACGTATCACCACTGTCCGGAAATGAAATGAAAAATGCAATGCCATCACATTTAAAAATATTGTACCACCTACACTAAACCCTACCCTAAACCTAATTAATAGTGTTATCAAAAGCAAACATGAGATGCATTTACAGAAGCAGCTATGCATTTTATCCTGCTTCTACAAGTCTTTGATCTATTTTTTCGTGACTCATATTTTACGGGACTCGTACCTGAGAGCGTTGCATTGCAAGTGCAGTGCTGTACCAGGTAAGCTACTGAGCAAGTTTACTATGCCAGCAAAGACATATATGGAGCTTGTTATGCGATGCAAATGTCATAATGCATTAGTTTACAAATCATATACTATGGTAGAAGTCGTTTAAACTCATAACATAGTATTGTCTACTGGTATAGTACTGGAATAGGAGAAAGTATTTTTTTTTTTTAGAAAAAAGTTACACTCTTCACCTTTGAAAAAGCTGCCAGATCTTATGTAATACACACACTGTATGCAAATAAAAACAGATAAATGTAATGAATTGATCTGATTTAAAACTCAAGGTGCTGATGGTGGGTGGAAATGCCTTGAATCATAACTACAGAGGCTCCGTGGAGCGTGTCGGTTTGTGGCGACGGGCACTCTCTCAGAGGCAGATCATAAGGGACATGCATGGACATGAGGACCCTGAGGACCTGGTTGACCTGGTGATCCATGAGACATTTGAACACCCAGCACGCAAATGGCTGGCTGTGAAGGACGGCAGCTTCCCAATACCAGATGAGGGTCCTCGTGCAGGGTTGGGGTCTTTAGACACCACCCTGGAGCCTCCAGCTTGCGGTCAGACAGTGTGTGATAACACAGAAGTGGTGCACAACTACAATCAATTCTGGAGCTTCCGTCACCCCAAAACGGTACGCTATCGTGTTGTAAACGTGTTTGACGACTCTCAGCGCAAACCCACAGTCACAGATCAGCAGATTCACCTGCAACATCAGCATATGAATGAAGCCTTTAGCATGTACAACATCACCTGGGAGTTGACTGTGCACAATGTAAGCAATTCATCTTTGTATAACCGTCTGGTACTCGCCAACTGTGACATTAGTAAGGTGGGTGATGAGGATTGTGACCCTGAATGCAATCACACCCTGACTGGATTTGATGCTGGTTACTGCAAGCCCAGGACGCGATGTCCTGAACATAAACAAGGGAATGGCGTCTGCGATCCAGAGTGCAACTGTGAGAACTATGGATATGATAATGGCGATTGCTGTAACCCTAGCATCACCGATGTGACCAAGACTTGCTTCAATCCAGCTTCTCATTTAAGGTAAGAGCTTAAGATCAGCAAGTTTAAACAGTTGTAGTTTTTAAATACACCTTATCTAGTAGCCTAAATCTCAGAGTCAGGAGCTGAACCAGGAGTCCTTTCTGTGAGGCGTTTGCTCCCTGTGTTGTTGTGGGTTTCGTTTTGGTGCTCCAGTTTGCCCCACAATCCAAAGACATGCAGCATAGGTGAATTGAAGACATTACATTGTCTGTAGGTGTTTCTTTATTCTCAATATCACCACATAACAAATTGATATCCAAAAATATATCTAACTTTACCCACATACATAGAGCACACTCAGCTAAAGCAATAAATACTACATAGCAAATCACAACTGATTGTTGATCATTGTGTTTGCCGAGCTCTGAACTGTTAAATGTGGACAATTAGGCATTAGCATCATTAGACAATTAGGTGGTCCTCGGTGTGTTTGGACACGTGAACTGGAAAGCAAACTTGTATAGCTTTGGCAAGAACATGACTGTTTATTTGATGTATCAAGAAATGGCCTATAATCGCTGTAATTTCTCGTGAGAACATATTTTCGCTGATGGTCAGGAACACCTCTTCACCGAATGTGTTGTAGTGTGTGCACCTCGTCAGCGTTGTGTTGTGTAGTATGCTCGCAGCTATGATAAGACAACGACAGATGAGAAGAAACCTTGTTGCGTAGTGATTTGGCTAGTCTTCCAATCATGTAGTGTGAGCTTGCCATTAGTTGTGCTAGATGAGTAAAACTTCCAAAATTTGCAGTGATGGAGGGGTTCCCGGGACAGATTTGAGAAGGACTGCTGTAGGTAATCTGTAAAGGCAATTGTATTTCATTGCTGAGTCTCTCACAATGCTTCAGTTATTGCAGTGGGATCTTCTCTTTTAGCTTTTCATGAGTACTTCAAGAAAAAAATGTTTCATCAAGGATCCCTCTAGGGGAACTGTTACTGCCTACTGTGTGGCGATTTGCTCAAAGTTTTAAACAACAGTATTTTCGCCAAAAGACGAAAAGAGTAAAAGGAAATTGGATTTCTTAATCTGAGTACCTGAGGCCATTGGATAGAAAGCACAACATGTTTACAATTCCACTAATGGATAAGGTCTGGTTTAACTTTTGGACTCTATGAAAGATAGCTATATTTGTTTCACAAAAATAGATATAGCCCCAAGGACGCCACGTACTGTAGTAATCCTAAACTATGAGATTTGTTTTATGGAGGACTTATTGCCTTAAGAAGTAGATTTTTGGTGGCTTTTGTTTTAGTTTGGCGGACTAGACAGTAAAAGCCAACATTTCAAGGAAGCATATTTGATTCTTGTTTAGACTGGTCTCCAAGCAACAATTTTGTTTTCAAAATGTATTCATAAACGTCTGTTAACAGAAGTGCACGAAGGTTCATGAGAAAAGTTTAAACATTCCATGTCGAGAGAAAATAGTGAATGAATTGATAAGTGAAAACAAGGTTTTTATGTCTTTGTTTTGTATGATTCATCCCAGTATTCCAGTATTGTCCTTGAATTTCTTCTGCACGCCTTAAATGTGCTTCTCTTTCAAAGGAAAGCAATGTTTTCTATTAGCCATTTTGAACACTTTCCAGACCGCAGAATTGCATCCAATAGTATTCCTAAAGCTCTTCAAATGACTCTGTGTGCGGGCTCTGAGGTGACATCAGTCACGAAAAACACGCGGGTGGTTTTGCCCAAATATTATCCCGTCGCAATCATCAAGAGGCTGTTTATCACTGGATATCCAATCCAGTAACAGAAATCAGCAGTTGGCCAAACCTGAGCTTTCAATGGAAATATTGCAACTGATGGATAAAAGATGGTTTAGAAAGATTAGAGTGAGAACAGAAGAAGAATTTTCAGATAAGCACCCCAAGTGGTTGTTTATTTTGTTTTGATTATGGAACGTCTAGGGAGACATGCTGATGGCTGCACCGCAAACATTCATCAACATTCCTTCTTAATTGTGGAATTCTGGATGAACACTCTGCTACATGCGTGGCACAACAATGGCTGTGTGGTCGGACGTTTATTTTTGTAGACCCAGAGCCTGTTACCACTTTAGTTGTTTGGAAATCTAGCTAACAGGAGACATCGGGTTGGAGTCCCTGAAAAATGTGAATGATATCAGCTTATGATGTCTTACATGTTTTAGGCACGTGTTTAAGTTATTTCTCCATGCTTTTTGAAGAATGTATACAGTGTCACATTGTTTTTGCAAGCAAACATCCCATCTGTAAAAAGAGATTGTGTTTTTACCTTCACAAGATCACTGATCGGATCTAATGGCGTAAACCTTAGACACAGTAGTGGTTAACCCTAAGGCAAAAGTTAAATGCTTGTGTGAATCCTCAACATGAACACATGCCGTATGCATTAATTCATGCCTTGCTTTGGATGTCTGCCAGTTTTGGGCATGTTATAGATGTGCAATAAGAAAAATGTCTGTCATGGCTTTGGTCCAGAGATTAGTCACAGGTGAAAGGCCACACTACGTTATCATCTGCCTCTGTCGCAACATCCATGCTTTTCCCTGGGATATTGTGTGCGATGGGTTAATTGATGAATGGGGTTTCCTGAGTTGTCACATGGGTCACCTCAGGGAGGTCCTTCATCAGGTGCTTTACAGTGGTGTGAGCCCATAAAACTTACAGATGTTAATGTTTTTGCCCTAATGGAGTGCTCTGGTGTAAAACGGGCTAGCACGTTGAGTTACATGCTCATAAAAGCACCTGTCTTTGGAAAGACACTTATATTCGCACACCTGCTTTGGCCTCTTTAATGCGGACCAGACTGGGGAAAGAGAGAACATGGTTGTAATTGATTCATGAGAGTGATGTTAACAGTTGCTGGACAGCTTCTCCTTTGGCACAGTAGAGAGAGTGCAAATGAAAGATCAAAACTTATGTTAGTGCTGATTACTCTTGCATGCATAGAATTTGCATGTAATGATAATTATAGTGACAATTTAAACTTTTAAAGTGAAGGGCGAAGAGCCAATATTTGCATAATCTAAAACAGGACTTCAAATCTTGAATATCATGAAGGATCCGTGGTGTCTCTATTCAAAACTCCGAATTGCACAAACAGGAATCGTTATTGTAGTAATCACTCTCGTATCAACCACACATCAGTATACTACATAAGAACAGGTAGACATTGACAGACATTCATAGTATCGCTTTGACGTAGCATCTCATCTCATTTCAAAGGAGTAACTATCCTTTTTCATCCTCTGTAGAACAAGTTTTCCAGCAACTTGCACTGGGGGGAATGTAGATTCATGGGTTTGTCAAATAAGCAGTGGCTGCCAAATAAATGAATCCCACCAATGTTAAAGTCGATAATCTTGCAGCACTCTATCATGCAACATGATGGTTGGGTTTTAGGTGACAATAAGTATTTGTTCTGTATATTATAAACATTGTGCTAGTTTTAATCAAGTGTCTCCATCTTTTGCTCCAGGGCCTATCTGGATGTGAAGGAGCTAAAAGAGATCCTCAAGCTGGATGGTTCCATGCACCTCAATATCTTCTTCGCCAATTCCTCAGATGAAGACCTGGCTGGAGTTGCTACCTGGCCGTGGGATAAGGAGGCACTGACACATCTAGGTATAGAAATTACTGCATAAATGCAGTCCAGGTCAAGAGTCTGAATTGCATTCCTGCAGTCATTTAAGTCTTACTCTGTCTGTCACACTCTGTTCCTTTACCTTCATTCGGTGGTTCCTATTCTCAAGACCCTTGCTTATTTTCTTAAGGGAAGCGTATCTGATTCAATGAAGTGAAGAGTATGCAAATTAATATGATCAAAATTACAGTACGTTTTAGCTGCATTTACTCTGCAAGACAGTGCACAGATTTTTTGGTTTGGTGTTTTTTTTTTACTGTCTGATTACAATTACTTGAGAAGCAGTTGTATTGGATGTATTGAATAAGAACATGACCGAACATGATGTTTTATTGCATGTCCATGCTCTAGGAGAACCTTCAACAACATCCGATCTGTACCAGATATTCTAATTAATAAAAAAGAAGCTTGGGAAACAGCACTCTTCAAAAATTCTAAAAACAACTCTTCAACAATTAGGCACACACACATTAGGGTTTACACTGTGTACTTTTTCCTTCTCTCTTCTTAGGTGGCATCGTTCTGAATCCTTCTTTCTACGGTACATTTGGCCACACTCATACCATGATCCATGAGATCGGTCACAGTCTGGGATTGTACCATGTGTTCAGAGGTATCTCCGAGATCGAGTCCTGCAACGATGCGTGTTTAGAGACCGAGCCGTCACTGGAAACTGGAGATCTGTGTGCCGACACTAACCCCACACCTAAATACAAGCACTGCAGGGACCCTGAGCCTGGCAACGAAACATGTAGCAACCGCAATTTTGTTCACACACCCTTTAATAATTACATGAGTTACGCAGGTAAGAACATATCTATGGAAACTATTCTATTCTATTACATTCTAAAACTTAATCTGTATTGGAAAAGACGGTAACACTTTAGTTTAGGGACCAATTTTCACTATTAACTAGTTGCTTATTAGCATGCATATTTTAGCATATTAGCTGTTTATTAGCTGAATGCCTTATTCTACATTACCTTATTTTAGATACCTTAAACCTACACTATACCTAAACTTAACAACTACCTTACTATTAATAAGCAGCAAATTATTAATTTATTGAGGCAAAAGTCGTAGTTTATAGTTTTGTAGTTGTAGTAAAAATTTTGAAATGATCAGATTATTTTACTCTTTGTTTAGATTATAAGCATTCTACAATTATAATTGATATTTTTATTATACATTTTCAGATTTTAAACTATGGAACTCTGGGAAGTTTGAATACATTTGCAAACTTTCTCAACTTTGTTGTTGTTGTTGTTTTTACAGCATTATCACGTTTTTTTTTTTTTTTATTGTATTTTATTTATTTTTTGCTCAACAGTAGCTGTTACTCATGTCACCTCAAATTGTCCACTGCCAAACATAAAAATCATTTGATTGATTTCCACGTTGATCTTTGACCTTCTCAACATGAATGCTTTTTCATGTGCTATGGATCTGTTAGGAACTAGGCCAAATTACTGAACGTACACTCCATTTTTCCCCAGATGATGACTGCACTGATTCCTTCACACTTAACCAGGTGGCTCGCATGCACTGCTACCTGGACCTCATCTACCAGACCTGGCAACCCGACTACCGGCCCCCTCCAGTCCCCATGGCCCCCCAAGTGGTAGAACAGGAACAAGACTCCATTACTGTGGAGTGGTTTCCACCCATCTCTGGCCACTTCTATGACAGGTGAACTGAGGTTGCAGTGGCATAGCACATACCCTGGGGACTATTTTTTACAAATATATGTGGTAAAATACACATGAGCATTTGGAGAGATGCAATCTGATATATTAAAGGTCGTGGACTATAAATTTGGATGTAGGCAGAGAGGAGACATGTCTAAGCATGTTCTGTTTTGTAAATATTGAAAGAGGAGAAGTCAGCGATATTTTGTAATCATTTGAGTACAGTGAGAGGATAGATTGGAGGAAGTGCAAAGCAACCAAGAATTCTCAGCGTCTGCCAAATCGCTAACACATGCTATCAATTAATGGCTCTATTTCTAAACTATGTTTAACCGGCTGCATCGTAGATAGAGTGGAATTGTTCTCACAGCCTTCCAAAATAATCTTGTTGGCTCTGGAATATCTGCATTTCATTTTGTCGAACTGAATGCAGTCAGAGATATTTATTTGTGGGCCTGCAGACAGTCTACGAGGGACTGTTATGTGAGAGACAGGTGGAATTCACTGAGACAAGCGGCAGGGGAATCCCCTCAGAAGGAGCATGTTGAGACATGTTGCTCTCAAACTCTCCACTTGGACCATGTGACATTGTTTACTGTATATCAATATCGCATTCTAACACCGCAGTCAGACTGCTTAAACAGCAACCAGATTTGTCATTGACCTCAAGCAAAAGTGCTTACTGAGTCATTGGAGTTGATTAGGGAATTGTCACACCAGAGGAGTCTTGGGGAGTAACGTTTTTAAACAGTGTGACAGTAGTTTTTCCTATAACAACCTGCTTTTTCCAACAAGTAGTGGTGTAGTACAACAGTATAATTTTCAAGGGTTATTAGTTGCATTTAGTCTAAATGCAGATTCAATTGTATATAAAAAATCTAATTCTATAAAAAAAAAGTCGATACACTATCAAAAAAAACATTACATTTAATTATTTTTATTTTTATTATAGAAATATTTTAATATATACTGTAGTTATTAGATTACATAATTTAACCATGTTTCTAGAACAGAATAAGGAATTTTATTTATTTATTTATTCATTTTTGATAGAATTGAATCTGCATTTAGACTATATATAACTAATAACTCTTGAAAATAATACTGTTATACTACACCACTACTTGTTGGAAAAAGTGGGCTGTTATAGGAAAAGCTACTGTACACTGCTGAAAACAGTTATGCTTCTGGAAAAGACTAGAAACATGGTTAAATTATGTAATCAAACAACTACAGTACACATGAAAATATTTCCATATTATCCATATTATATCCTATCATATATATTTTTTGACCTTATAAAACCACTTCAAGCACAGTTTTCTGATTTCTGATTTTGTGTGAGGTGTAACTTGACTACATCAGTGAACTCAATATTATCAGCACTTTCTGTTTTTGTTAACTCTTATTCTTAACATTTTTTTTTTCTTTAAAAAAAATTAAAGCCTCAATTTGGAGATTCCTATCTAACTTGATGTATCTAAGTTGCATTTTGTCTATCTCTGTTGGTTTCCTAGAGAAGTGGGATCAGTATGTGATAAATGCGCAGAGGGTCGAGTCCTCCTGCAATACGCCTCCAATTCTTCATCTCCGTTCCTGAGAGTTAGTGGACATGTAGTTGCAAATTAATGAGAATTAGTTGACATGTAGTTGACATGTAGTTACAAAGTTACTTATAGTTAATAGAATGTCTAAAGTGGACTATCGAAATAAAGTGTAACCTTACTTTCTTCTCTTTTTATTTATTTATTTATTTGTTCAGTATAGTAACTAGTGAAGAATTTGGGTATGTGTGTTCTTGTGGCACATCAGTGTTTCCATGAGGTAACTGTCGTACAATTCCAAAGTGATTAGTCACATGACATTTACAGCTGAGGTGATTGGTCCAAAAACAACTGTGTCCATGTGCAAATATGGCAGACTGCTAGGGGCTCTTGTGCCAGCCAAGCAACTGCCATTGAGATGAATGAATTGCTTGGATGTCTTGCAGGTAACACAGAGCTCCTTAAACTGATAGTGCCACAGTGTTGATATTCTTCGATAAACTCAACCTACAGTTTATAGTTGACTTGGTAATTTACAGTGCACTTGTCCAGTGTAGTAAATAACCATTTCATTTATGTTTATTTTAAATGAATCCTCACCTTGTCAGAGCGTTGTGACCCTGGCTCCTCACACTGATATTGTCAAAGCGTCCCATCTCTCCTACAACAACACTTGAGTTCTTAGCTGAATGAATGCATCTTTAAAATTGCATTTTTTTCATCTATTTTCATTTGCCTTTCAGTATGTCTTACACTTGTTTTCAGTGTAACTGTGAACAGCAAAGTGAACAGTTAGCTGGTGGTGGGATTTTTTATTTATTTATTTTTTCCTTTATAAATAGTCTACACAGCTGTGCTGCTCCAGAATTCGCAGACAGCTGCTTTTATTAATTGTTTGTGAGCGTGGCTGGCATAAAATAGCATCGTGTCAGTTAGTTCGACTCACATCTTGGAGGAATGCTCTTAATCTGCAAATCAGAGCTTTTTGTGGGATTTTTGGCCCGGTGATATATGGCGTATATGTTTTTGTGGTCAAGGCTGTTTCAAAAGCATTACGCTTCTTGTTTGGTGCCACTCGGGAGACGTTGCATTTCCTTACAATTAAAACGCTTCCCACGGTCAGGACGCAGATTCGTTCATGCCTTTATGGTGAGATGGTGTCTTGCAGTTTTGATTCATATCTCTAGCAGAAGGAAAGACTCATTATCAATTGGAGGAGTGTTTCCTCTTCAAAGACCTGCTTTGATGATAATGAACTCGCGCAGACAGTGATGGATACGGGTCAGAGATTGCTGCTAACCTTATTATCAGAGAGCACTTCACTTCAGAACCCATCATTTTCACTAAATGTTCTACAGTTGGAGACAGACCATTCATAATTTCCTTGATATGGCACTCTCTGTTTAGGCAGCACACACACGCACTCTTAAAAATAAACATACGCGCTTTCTCACATAAACATTAATACGTGTCGCACTCTGCACTTGTTGCAGTGTTACGAAGACATGCCTGGGCTTGCCGCTGCTCCAGCGTGTAAACGGCTCTCTGTTTTCCCTCTTGGAATGTTGCCCTGTTAATCACAGTCCCCTCAACGAGCCCCTCTTACGCCAGTATTCATCCTACGTGACGTGCCCCGAAGACCCCAGCACAGCTGCTTGGCAATCTGTTTGTTTGTGCTTCTCGGCCAGGGACGGCATTTCAGCGCCCTCCCTCTTCTGCCGCGTCTTCCCGATGGCATTGCCACTCCACCTGCCGGCCGTGGAGTTCACAGGGTTTGTGGCTGATGTCCTCAAGACACTCCTGCTGTTTGTATTTGCAGTAAAGTTAACTCGAATATTATTTCATCCCAGAGTTAAATGACTGTAAACCTAACTACAGTAGTTTACAACAGGCTTTCAGTGAAGAAAGCTGCGTTGATTGTAGCAACCCAGGCTCATTGAAAATACATGCTTGTGGCATTGTTTCTAAAACACCAATATTATGTGCCTTGTTGAATGTTTCTCGGCAAGTTAAATATCCAATGAGTGATGCTAAAACTCACGTATTTCGGCATTTTTATTCCAGGGAGTTCAAATGTCCGGGAAGGGTCGCTAAAAGGTTAATTCTCTATCGTGTTGGAAAATAACATGCCCCCTACACCAAACCCAACCCTAAACCTACCCGATAGTGTTAACGAAAGCAAAAGTGATATGAGAACACATTTACTGATGCAACGCACTATTTTAACAGTAGTTCCACGAGATTCGTACCGTCAAGCTTCAACTCACAAGTGCAACGTGTATCGCGTGAGCTACCAATGCAAACCTACGTGTTAGAAAACCCATACATGTGAAGCTGTATATGTGACGCAAATGTTCATGAGTATCAGTTTTAAAACCTCACAGCATGTTAAAATTAGTTTTGAAGCGAACACAATATTGTTCAAGGAATTGTGCGAAAGTACTTAAGTAACCCTTTATACACAAAAGGAATGTCTGAGCTTCTGTTTCCCATGGTGATTTATACTGCCAAGCTCCAAAAAACACGTACAACTATTTCATACAGGGTATACTCCAACGCTTCTGACGGGATATGATAGCTTTGTGTGATGAACAGCCACATTAAAGTCCTAGCAGCTCTCAAATATCATTTATGGTTGCAGTTTTCAGACTTAACACTAAGAACCAATAGTGTTTGTTGTCAACTTAGATATGCTACAGGCTAATTTTTGACATCTTTCTTAGACTTCATATCACTCAGTTCAGTAAACTTAACTGAAAGGAACAATTAGAATGAAGTCAAAATGGTTAATGACAACAGAGCAGAGCAACTAATTTCCTCGTATTTAGTGAACAGTGTATTAGCATGGTGCTAATAACATCAAGGTTGGAGGTTCAATTCCCAGGGAATGCATAACATGATGAAATGTATACCTTGAGTGCAATGCAAGTCACTTTGAATAAGACCGTCTGCCAAATGTATGCTGATATTTTTATTACATTTTTTTTGCAGCTTGAGGGCATAAATCACCTCCTTTCAGTGTATGAAAAACAAAGGCCTTATTCATTAATAATTTTGGACAATTTGCGTATTAATCACACTAAATTTCTGCCTGATTCACTACAGGTGCATACACCTGTAAATTAGTTCTTACCCTCATTCTAATGTTAATTAATAAATGATTATAAATGAGTCATTTTCTATCACAGTAATGATGCCTATAGTGATAATATAATTAAAACATTGACAGCCAATCAGAATCCATCCCACTTTAAAGAGCTCAAAGCAGATGAAACAACTGCAGCACATGCTTATAATAAACAGAAACAATTAACGTGCATTGGTGTGGACGCTATATAGTTATCATTATAGTTATCTTTATCGAGCCTAACGAGCCTTTATGCTGGAAGTGTATAAGGACAAAATTGAAAAGCCTAAGTCTACTCTGAGAGTTAGTAGACATGTAGTTGCAAATTAATGAGAATTAGTTGACATGTAGTTACAAAGTTACTTATAGTTAATAGAATGTCTAAAGTGGACTATCGAAATAAAGTGTAACCGAATAATATTCATAAAGAATGGTTTACCCAATGAGTAAAAATGGCTTAGTTTGAGCAATGGCTGAGAGACACTATCAGTGTTATTTTAGTAAAGTTGAGTTATTATTATACTTGTTATCAATATTTTGAATTTACTTTTATTTTTTATATTTTTATTATTTATTTTATATTGTGATTTTTTTTTTTTTTACTTTTAGTAATTTTATTGTGTGTCATTGTTATTCGTTATTTTTTGTTAATATATCTATATAGTTTTTATTCCTTTTTATTTCACTTTCAGTTAGTTATTTTATTGGATCAAGTTAATGAAGATGAAAATGAGATACAAAGAAAGAAACTAGCCGAAACAAGTTTGTTTTAATATTTCACTTTATTTCAATTAACATTTCATTTATTTTATAAGTAACAAAAATGCATCTTTATTGTTTTAGTTTAATAACCCTGGTCACCATCAGTCACAAGGGCTCTAGGGAAGCTCAATCTAAATCTATTTTATCATTTATCAGTATCATTTACCCATCTTGATCTCAAAAGTTTTTCACTAGCCATGTTCCTACATCGCACAGCGGCTCCCCAAAGCAGACCTGTGCTCACAGTTCAATGTACCACAATTACCTTAAGCGGGACGTTTTCAGCCGCACTAACACCAACCCCCCACTTTCCCTTTTTTCCATGAATGAGCACTTTCCTAGACAATCTAATACCCCAATTAGATTAGCTAATCAAGTGAAAATGCAAGGCTCTAATTCATGGTTGAATTGTCAGGTCACCTTGAAAACCTGCCCACCCTGCTGTGGCGGCTGAACCCTGACACTAGTACTTCCGGGACAGGGTTAGTAGTCCACCACGGAGTCATTTAGATAAGACAGTTACTCATCTTATGAAATGACTACCTGATGAATACATTCATTACAGCTGTTTAAGCTCTTTTTTTAACATGTGATTGCAAGGAGATATTTTCCCATCTTAAAAAAAAAACAAAAGTGTTGTGGCTGGTCAAATGCAGCGTAAACGAGGTGAGAATGTAAACATGCAGTATCGAAGACATTTTTATCATATGTTTACTTCTATTCTGGCCACACACATACTCACAATAATAAATGTGTTGAGATGATGTGGCCTGGAAAACCAAAAAACTCGGTGCTCAGTTGATTAAACACTGGAATTTTGTGCACTGCCCAGAAATGAGGCTAGCAAATGGCTTTTGCTGTTGCCAGTTTGGAATTGCACAAAGGAAAAGCAGGAGAACACACTGTCTGCAGTGCCCTGGCTTCTCCCCACATTTGATGAATGTTGGGGTACGTCACTCCCCGTCAAATGAGTTGCTGTTGACTCCAAATATAGCTAGACTGCAGCACACGAGATGTAATTGCCAGGCTGAAATCGAAAGCCTTGTGCGGGCCTCATCATCGGGTCGCTCGGATTTCTGGTTTTTGCTACAGAAACGAGAGAGAATGTGAAGGAGAAATGGTCGGACAAGATGGAATTTAACAACATGCGACTCTATGCATCAAGTGTGTGGCTGCATTTCTCATTATGCGCTACTCCTTTTTCTGCTGTACCTTACGATATATTGTTCCTGCTTCAATTCATGGTACTGCACAGAACTGGGTTACTGGTGTTATTTTAGTGGTGTTATGATGCAGTGTTTCCTGAAATGTGCACTGTAGTCATTCTGTACTTTGCATGAATATTTATAGAATTTATATGAAGTAGTAAGTAGTATTGTGTTAACAAAAACTATGACCTAAGATAAGACAAAAACAAGACAACACCAATATCATTAAACACTAACAGTGTCTATATCAACACGCAATATTATTGACGAAAAAAGATGAGACTAAAATGTAGATTAAAACAATAAAAACTCTCTTTATCCAAAATCTCTTTTAATATTTTCGTCCCCAAAAAAAAAAGTGTGGTAAAAAAAAAATCGACCTACACAGGTTTTAATGCTTGGGGTTGCCAGATGGCACAAGTGTAAATCCCCCCCACCCCCATCTTTTCAGTGCTTATCGGTGAAAGTGTTTCAATTGAAAACAGTCGTGATCAGTAATCGCGATTATAATTTCAAGCAAACTAATTGCCATTATTCAGCATGACTAAAATATTATAACTTGACTAAATTCCCAGACTTTTACTCCATGAAAACATGACTAAACAAAACATAGGATAGGTTGAATAAGTAGTGTTTCGTTAACGAAAAATATTCGTTGACAACCTTTTTTTTTTTACATGAAAGATGAGACGAAGACAAGACGAAAACAACAACATTAAACGCTAACTGTGACTATATCAACATGCAATATCGTTGGCGAAAAGACAAAACTAAAATGTAGTTAAAATAATAATAATAAAAATTGTCCACAGTTGTGGTCAATTTTATATATACTTTGCAGTATCTGCAAAATGTTAATTAATTTACTAAAATAAGAGGGATCATACAAACTACATTTTTTTTTAGTTTTTTTTCCCTTTACACAAACTACCATTTTCAGTTAGTTTAATTAAAATGAATCAGGTGCAAACATGGCAACCATGCAAACTGAAAGTGAGAGAGAGAAATAATTTGTCATGTTGCACGATTTTGCCATCTAGTGGACGACAAACAAAATACATTTTTTTTTTTTTTTTTTTTTAGTACTGACCTGAATGAGATATTTATCATAAAAGAAAAAAACTAAACAAAAAAAAAAACAGCTGTGGATCATCCGGGTAACAACACTATTAAGAATCAAGCATATGTAAACTTTTGATCGGGGTCATTTTTATAAATTATTTTTCTCTTGTGGACTATATATAAATGTATTTTATGTGAAATATCTTATTCAAGTCCGTACTAAAAAAAAAAATGCATGCATTTTGTATGATTCCTCTTATTTTCGTAAAATAATTAACATTGTGCAGATACTGCAAAGTTTATGTAAAATTTTTACCAAAACCGTATATCCAAAAACTGAAAAAATCTTAAAAAAAAAAAAAAATGCCCCAATCAGAGCTTTTGTGCTTTCAGATGAAAGTGTCTCAAACAACAATAATGATCAGTAATTGCCATTATAATTTTGAGAAAATCCATTGTCATTATTAGTTTAACCATAAGTTTTTTTTTTTTTAGTTGACTAATACTAGACTAAAATTCCAAGATTAAAACTTGACTAAATAAAAAAAAATAAAACAATAAAAATGGGATAGGTTGACTAAATTTGATAAAGAATAAAGGGGACATTTGAAACTTGACAAAATTAACACTAGTAGTAAGTGATCCTATTTATGAAATTTAAGGCCTGTACTCTGTTTGCAAACGCTTGGCTTAGGAGCCGTAGAGAAAATCTGGTTCATATCCTTTTTTTTTTTCTTTTCTTGCAAGCCTCAAGTTACTGTAGTTCCCCTTCTACTAGATCACAATAATTGCTTTTTTATCTATATTTTAAACAGCTGCCTTTACAGTTCCCCTGTCATGAACTGGTAAAGGAATATCAAAAAGAAGACTGAAATTCTGACTTTAATGCATTTGCTGCATCTCTTAGGACCACCAGATGTAGAGCAGGCATGCGAGCCCAGCGTCCGCACGTGGAGTCCGCATAACGGCATGGATCTAGGAATGGTGCCTCCTCCCTGCCCTCTGCAAGGCTGCATGCTACAGCTGGAGTTCGCATATCCGGTGGTCCCTGACTCCCTCACAGTGTGGGTGACCTTCTCCTCCCAGGAGGAAACCGTTCTGCCTGCCATCCACAATATCATCTTATTGACTGTCGGTGGCAACAACCTGTCTCTGGGTCCCAGCAATTTGTTCTGCGACACACCACTGACCATCAAGCTGGATGTGCTTGAGAAGGTGTACGGCGTGCAGTTTTTCACCATGGAGCAACATTTGGAAATTGATGCTACTCTGCTCACGTCCAAACCCGACTGTCCGTTGTGTCGAGAATGTGAGCCGCTGCACTATAGGCTCCTGCGGCAGCCGCCATTTGTTCACGCACCCCAGGGCGTCATGCTGAGAGACTCAATGCGAAGATACATGGACAGGTGAGCCTTTTGAATAAATTAATAAAATGAATAATGTGCTCTTCAAATTGTTCATTCACACGGTACCTAATGCAATGAATACACTGAACCTTATTGTAAAGATGCTAATACTTCTTTGAAATTTTTTTTTTTGTTGTATTCCAGTTGAATTTGTTATTGCAATTATATGTTTTCAGGCTCTGGCTAGTGTTTAGATACTCTTCCTACCTCTTCCAGAAAAAAATCGTATTGACTTTGGAACTTCGATTTGGAGCTGTTTTACCACAGAACAAAACTAACGTAATTCAAAGTTGGAGTGCGAAATGTGCCTCGTCAGCATTAGGCACAGCAAATCCCCGCTCAAATCTTGTGGTGTCTCTCTGTTCCTTTTCAATTTTCGAACGAAGCCAAAAGAAACAAAGAGAAGGATGCAGCTGTTGGTTGTTTTCCGTCCAGCGCCTGGCATTAGAATGCCAGTTAATGCCATCTGTGCCATCTTGAGGTTCCTCTGGCCTCGGCCGGGCACCTCTGGTTTGGGCAGTAATACACTAACGCTTTCTGACTTAAGGCCAGATACTGGGTCTCTGGTCAGCATTTCTGTATTGGCCACTTCAGCATGCATGTGAAATTAATGGTTTAACTTGCCACCTACTGATATAGTAGCTCAACATTGCAGAGTGTTTCCAATAGTTTTGGGAAATGTGCGAATCACAGATTTATCTACCACCAGCATAGATTAGCTTTGCACAGACTATTATCACAGTACAATGATCAGAATAGAGGAGAACGGGGATGGGTGTAAGAGGGGGCCAGTTGTAACGCTGCTATTTGAAGCATCTACTGTAGAAATTATGTACAGGGATGAAAGGTTTTATAGGTTTAATGTGGTTTGCATATCCAGTATTTTCTTTCCAAGTAATTTCCAGTATTTCAGATTGAGGTGTTTACATGAAGGATTTTCCAACTGAGCTACCAATTATTAACAGATTATTATCATATTATTATACTCTCAGAAAAAAAGTAAAAAAACTGCCACTGAGGCAATACCCTTTCAAAAGGTAATAATATATATAATTTAGGTACATATCTACCTTTTAAGGTACAAAAATTCACCCTTTTGGGTTAAATAAAGTACAGAGATGTACCTTATAGGTACAAAAGTGTACCGTCCCAGTAACAGCTTTTGTACCTCATTTATTTATGTATTTGTTCTGAGAGCGCAGGTTGTCCATAAACATTGCCACTGAAGTAGTGTTGCAGTTAATTAAATAATGGTACACTGATGTGTAGTGATGATTGACCATTTGTGATGACACCTGCTGCTTAGGAGTAGAGTCACTGAAGATACAACAAGATATATAAATAAAATGTATGGTAATAGGGTGTTTTACTATACTGGACTTGATGCAGGTGTGCAGATGCATCACATTGGCACAGATTGACACTTTTTCCACTCACTATTTTCTTAAGTTTATTGGACTTTTTCCTCCCCATATTGTGCAAGCTGTTTCTCCACTATACTGTAGCTGAATAAAACAGACATGTTTTTGATCTGATGTGAGGTAGGTAAGGTTTTGGCTCAAGTAAATTGTGGTCAACTCACAGCTGGGTTTGAGAGTCTGTTTTCTGAGTGACGTTAATTCTGAGATCTGAATCAATTACAATCACATATTCTGAGGTCCCATGCATTCATTACCTCAGCTCTGATCCAGGAAAGATATTGATCTTTGGTAAATATGCTCTGACACCTCTACCTAATTTGGGTCACCCGTGTCTCTCTCTCACTTGGCACTCGCTCATTGATTTGAATGGGAAGACTTAGGTTTTGGATGCATACATTATGGGACCTTAGGAAATATGAGAGTAGGTTTGAAGCTCTGGAACATAGGAGTAAATCACGGAGGGGGGTTGACCCTGCATGTCTGTAACTCTGGCCTTCAGAAAACCCCCAGCCATCTGCTATTCCTCTCCCTGACCTGGCCCTCTTTGCTGTCATGGCTTCAAAGGGCACCCCTGCTTTGAGCTGACAGGACCCCTCTGCCAATGAGACAGAGGCCAAGACAACTGGCCAACTCATCCGCTTTAGGGGCCCCAGCCTCCTGCAACCTGGTCCCCCTTGGTCTAAGACTCTCACCTCTGTCATGTCAAGTCCACTGACTATGGCATTCCAAAAGCTCCACCCTCCTACCAGCTCCACTGCTAATGATGGAACGATTACAGAGGTTTGATTGGTGCCCCACGGTCCTTAATCTCACTGGAAAATTGCTTTATCCAGCTTACGGGATGAGTACATTTGAGAGAAATTTGCATCGTAACCAATGTACAGTTCTAGATCTTTCATTGTTTATCAAAAACATATCCCTTGACCACTTTTTAAAATTTTCAAGGCTTTTAGTTAAGACAGTGTTAGGTCTTTTAGAACAAGGTGATCTTTGGAACAATGCTATTTAATTACCGTGTGTAGGCTCCTTTCATGTTTACTTGAAGATCCTCCTAATTCCTAATTGGATTTGGACCAAAACGTTCCATCAAGAACAAGAATTTTGCCTAGATTGTGTAAACCGATGTAAGTTGCATAGGGAATGTGCATGTGCTATGCACCGCTGTAGAGCTTTTGACGTCATAACTGACCACAGTAATCCCTGTTTACCAGAAGTCATGTTCCGAAGGAAGATTTACACTGTGGAAATGTTGGAGTTTCTCTCTAATGTCACCGCTATGAGTTGATCTCCTTTATGTGTGATTAACATAACTTCTCAACCAGAACAACTGGGGATGACCCAACTAATTATTTATCTTCGTTGGTGTGTTCACTGTATCACTGCAGTTCCATCATCCCCGACTGAATCCCTAGAAGTACAAGGAAAACCAAATCTGCTGTGGTTTCGGAAATATGACTATGTGCAGGCACTGGTGGAGTTGGAATTCTCTGAAAGGAAGATTGTTTAGTGAGAACTACTGGCGGCCTGCCGAGATGTTGGCATCTCATTTAAAACCATCATTTGCCATTTTGCCCAGAAAGTGACTATAAACCTTGTCTATTCTTTTGCAGAAAACACTCGTGCTATTGTTGCTTGCGTATGGTGTTTCTTTGGAGGAGGTCGCTTGAGTAGCTACTTTTTCTTGTCTTTAAGCACTTCATAAGTCCTGATTTGTATCTGTCTTCCAACAAGTATTAAGTATCTTTCTTTTTATCAAGAATTCCAGAAGGAGGAATTTTTTATTGAATGAAGTATTGTCTGAATAGAAAGCTTTCACTAAATTGCACTCATCGTGAGACAATAGGGAACAAATAAGTGACAAATAAATCCATTTAAAACTTAAAATTATTAACATTTTAAGGTGTAACAGAAGAGATCAATCACTTCTAGTTTCTCTGTCTTTCTTTTTCTCTTTCCAGTTTATAACTTCAACATGAGTTCTATAAGTTATCCACTGAGAATCAGAGGTGCAAACAGATGGTCGCTTAACATGTTGAACTCTGCCAGTGTTTAACCAATAAGCTGTAAGCGGAATTCTGTTGACGTTAACTTATTTCATGCCATGTCATCAACATATATTTATGCCATAAGCGTATTGGCGGGCCTGTTGATCTCTCAAGAGTGGCTGGCTTACATGATATCATATGACATCATCAGCTGCACCCGTTCAGAACAGTTGAGAATACAGTGAGACATGTGCGTTAATAAGACACAGATGAAGTTGTGTTAAAGAGAGGATGCTGAGCAGAGGATGATGGCATGCTCTGAGACTGATTCCTTCAACACCTCAACACATCTGTGAGGAAGAATTTTATGCAATAGGAAGTGGAACTGCTTCTCCGTAGGGATAGGCATGAGTATTCAGAAGTGACGGCAGTGATCAATCATTGAAAGATCTGATCAATTTTCATTTGAAATCTAAAAACAGCTATAATCAAATGCATTTTCCAGTTCATCTGATTTTGCATCAGCGTTGGATGTGATTTTCCTTAGCTTAGTAAGTAGAATCTCTTCAATGCACTGGCAATATATTGTTCATTGAGTGACGCAACATATACTATAGGCTTCAGACAACCTAAGAACAAGCTCCATTCTTCAACACAATAGTTAGCACAAAAACTCCAATATAACAGAAACTCTTTTAAATACCCAACATAATGGAATAGTCAATACTAGAAAGTATTTCCCTTTACTCACAAACACACAACAACACATTAAATAATTCTTACTGTAGTTTTGTTTTTAAGCCCAACAATTATTAAAATATCACCAATGAGCAACTGTTCACAAATATTCAGCAAATATTCACATCGCTGCACTTGTAAGATGTCCATAAGTGCTTAAAGTGTTGGAAAAGTTGCTATATTATTTCATGCTGTTGTATGATTAACACATTTTATGTTAATAGTTTATAAGATGGAAGAAGACTAAGACAGAGAAGCACAGTGTGGTCTAAATATCTTGTTCAGTCATGAAACTCTAGATGGCGTAGGCTGATAGATCCTTTATATGCAATATGCTAGCCATCACATAGTTTACTACATGGCACAAGCTGATTCTGCAGCCACTGAGTTTGCTTGCTCAACATTTAAACAGTCTGGTTGACTGTTTGCTGTAAGCTGGTCCTGCAGCACATTTGTCAGAGCTCCTCTGAAACCCTCTACCTCCCCCAGCTCCACTTGTGGATATTCGTGCAGCAGCAGTATATCTTACATGCTCACAGCAGTGTGTCTGTGTACCTATTGGCAAAAGCAAGCCTCCATACTTGCTCTGCAGCACCATATGTATCTAGTCTGTCGAGACCAAATACATTAACATTGCCATATCTATTAATATGCTGAAACTATCCAGAGAGTTGTCAAAATTAAAATAACAAAATACTACAGTAAACACTGAAGTACTAAACATTTTTACAGTTCACATGTGCATGATGACAAGGCATAATGTACTGTAGGGTTCCATATAAAAGTTAGCGATTTAGCTAACATTATAGTAGATAAATGATCAAGCATAATTTTTAAGGATTTCAAAGTAACATCA